CCCCTTAAACTGACGATGGAGAGGTGGGGAAAAAAAAGGACGGGGGTGGGTGGGGAGATCTTTAGTACGACGACCACATCTCGGTACAATCTCCACCTGACGCGACGACAGACGATCAGACGACCAACGCACAGAGCTGTCTGTCTATGGGCATTCGGCGCACAGAGCTGTCTCTAAGTCTATGGGCATACGACGTCCTGGAATGTATTTCTAACACTCGTTATGTTTGTGGCGAACTCAGCCGACCGTGAAATCCAGCAGTTGGCTTTTCACTGTCTAATATTCATACGACACGCTATTGAGGCTGAGATACCGCTACGGATAACGTTCGGTACGAATATTCAAAAAAACACCTTATACAATCTAAGATAGGTAACTTTTAGTCTAATATGCAAAGACACCTTGACACAATCTAAGATAGGTAACTTTTAGTCTAATATGCAAAGACACCTTGATACAATCTAAGATAGGTAACTTTTAGTCTAATATGCAAAGACACCTTGATACAATCTAAGATAGGTAACTTTTAGTCTAATATCTAAAGTCACGCTTATTCAATCTAAAATAGTTAACATTTAGTCTGATATGCAAAGACACCTTATACAATCTAAGATAGGTAACATTTAGTTTAATATGCAAAGACACCTTATACAATCTAAGATAGGTAACTTTTAGTTTAATATGCAAAGACACCTTATACAATCTAAGATACTACTACAGGTAACCTTTAGTCTAAAATGCAAAAAAACTCATATACAGTTTAAAGATAGATAACTTTTAGTTGAGGATATCAGGATGTGTGAAAATAAAATTGTTGACACGAAGTATATCAAACAACTCTACTTAAATACTGATGTGATCACGTGACTGGAGAATTTTAAAATGAATAACTTAAGACTCGTCACATAATGACCTCTGAAGAACACATGCATGCTTTATACTTCATACAAACACACATAAATAATCACGTAAAGTGCATCTGTCGATGATGTTTACACATTAGAATATCATTTGAACATACACTTAACCATCAACTTGTAAATATGTAAGTAGGCAATAACAGTATTTAAAAAAAAGTTTTATCCCTATATGGTAATCATTTAAATAGTAAAGTAAAGAAAACATACATTTTTTTAAAAATCTCTCACTTTAAAAAAATGCTTTTGCTTTCGTTCAGAAACTGGGCCAGGTGTAGAGAGCTTACAGGTCTGTACAATTTATCATTTACATATTCGATCTAAAACGGAAAGTCTGGGTTTTCAATGACGTGAATGTGTCTTCCACTATAAACTTGTCTGCAGACATACATGATAACTTCATAGCTGTAGCAAATACATTATCTTGTAACATACTTGATGGTTATAAATTGGACCATAACAAATTTTTGGACTTTTGTCAATTTATATAATTTTAATATGACGCTTAAAAAAAAATTATGGAAACCCTCCAAATCTTTGCGGGGCTCTTAGGGTTTCCGCGGAACACAGTTTGGCAACCGCTAACATTACCAATTTATCGATATCAGTATATTTACATTATCTCGTGCCAAATGATCTCTATTCCAATGGCTTACATGTCAACATTAGGACACTGTTAATATGGAAGCCATTGTCAATTGTAATTTTAGATTTTGGGTACGTGTTTCTATATTTGTAACACTTCTAGCAGTCAAATTCTCACTTAATGTTGTTACTGTTGTATAGAGATGGTGTATTGGAAAGATATGAAAGTCGGTTGTTTGTCAAGGGACACATGGAATTCTCTCCCATTACACATCCGCAATATACCGACCATCACAGTCTACAAAACTACACTCACAACACATCTTTTTAAACTCTACTATCCTGACTGATTCCCCTTTCTGACCGAAAAAAACGATGCTTCTGGGTGTCGTCCATGGCTTGACATGTAAATAGTTTTAAATATACATTTGTTTTGTTTTATTTAATTAATTGATGATAATTAATTATTTTTTTAACCTCATGATTATTTTTGTTAAACTGTATGTACCGCGTGGTGAGCCCAGCCCTAGGCTGGGGTACCACGCTATATAAAACCACTTATAATAATAATAATAACAATATGGCGAGTGATAAAGTATTATTGTTCGTCCTCCGCATGTGAAGATGACCAAGGCTTCCGCTTGGGTAGCAGCCGTCACTTGAGCTGTAGTTTGTTTTAAGTAACGGAGGGTTGCTCAATTCGTCAGCCTCACTCTCTCGTCCTTGCCATTTTTTGATCCAATGGCAAGGCTTGGTCAAGACGACTTGAAATAGACCAGGATGCAGTAGATGACCAGCAGTGTTTCTTGTGTCTCACTGTGAGTTCCACGTCGCAGGAGTTGTCGGGTTTAATTTCAGAGTTCGCCTTCTCTAAAGTGAGTTGCCATCCAAGGTTTACGAGTCCCATCCACAAGAGGGCATGGTGTTTTTGCGTGTGTGTAACTGTCTAGGTATTGAACTCCAGCCGACAAGCTTGGGATTGGCTCAGTTTAAACAGCGAGTGACGTGCAGAACGCTGAAATTCGTTTTACAATTGGAGTTGTGTCTAAGGAAGTGTGGCTATTTCTGACAAAAAAAGATGGTTGGGGGGGGGGGGGGGACCCGCCCCCTTAGATGGGGAGGGAAAAAATTTTTTTAACCAAACAAAAATTAAACCCGGGAAAAAAGTTA